CTACCATTGGAAAATATCGTGATGTTCCGGTATATTCCGGGAAAATGTCGCAATATTCCGGCATATTCCGTGATATTCCGGCATATTCCGTGATATTCCGCCATATTCCGTGATATTCCGGCATTCCGGGTTTTCACAACGCCCAAATAGGGCTTAGTATTCGGGAAAATCGCAGAAAATACTTTTCGAATTAAATTCGCTAATTTTGAGCCGTTAATTTAGGTTAACTTCAACAACTTGTCGGGGCGAAACAAAATAACCCAGCGCTGTAGTAATCTCACGCGATGTTAATTGCTATCTTAATATGCAACAGGTAGAGTTTCAGCCATTATTGTTCGGGTTTTTGATTTTTATTGAAGTTATTTTTGGAACACATAGAAAATCTCTCTCAAAATATGTTCAAAGTAAACTAATTTTTTTCCATGTGCGACGAAATTTTTTTACTCTAAAACAACCCATAATCGCCTTTAAATGGTGTATTTTGTGAATCGTTTAAAATTTTCTTGGGGAAATTATTTTTCGTGATGCAGCGCGTCCCCAAATTTGTAAGAAATTTACAAATTTTGCCTGTCGGCAAGATCAATCAATTTACATATTGTGTACATATGTAGCGTTTATAAAAGCGGCTCAGTGTTTGTATTTTAAATTAAGAACAAACTGAATGTTCTACATTGTAAAAGGAACTGACTAATCACAAACTATGTTAAATTCCCTTTTTAAATACATCGATTGACCCATATAGTATCTACTAATAAGTGCATAATATTGGTGTCTATTTCTGCCTATCGTCAAACTCACATTTTATACGAGTTATTTCGACAAAATGAATATTTTATGTGTAACAAGACGCTCTGTGGAGCGTTAACTCGCTGGGGCTATGCAACTCATACAAATATGCACATTACTAAGCGGAAAAGTCGAATACAAGCGCAAAAGGCTTACCAAAAAAGTTTTCTTACCGAAAAAGAGAAAACCAATGATACCAAAGTTATCAACAATACAATTTCGCTTGGCTTTCAAAGACAAAGCCATAAATCGCTAGAATACTGTTGTTTAGTAATACATTTGACATCCGTATGAGCGATTTGTTAACAATACAATTTCGCTTGGCTTTCAAAGACAAAACCATAAATCGCCAGAATACTGTTGTTTTGTAATACATTTGACATCCGTATGAGCGATAAAAATATCACCGTTCGATTCAGGGTAAGAAATTGTACTAATTTATACGGATGTCCTTTCGAAGACAAAGGCCATATAAAGACAAGCGAAATTGCATTGTTAACAATAACAATACAATTTCGCTTGTCTTTCAAAGACAAAGGCCATAAATCGCTAGAATACTATTGTTTAGTAACAATTTGACATCCGTAATTAGTACAATTTCTTACCCTGAATCGAACGGTGATATTTTTATCGTTATTGCGCCATGAGGCATTACAAATACAAGGGAAGGACATACGTACTGCGAGCGATTTATCAACAATACAATTTGACCAATTTCCCTTGATTTTCAAAGGCCATAAATCGCTAGAATACTGCTGTTTAGTAATACATTTGACATCCGTGAGTACAATTTCTTACGCTGAATCGAACGGTGTCGCTTTCTTCTCAAAATATATAAAAGCAGCGCAGCCAAACGTATATTTAAACTTGCGATTTGCGAAGGTTGCTGTTTCCGTGCGAAATTCCTTGTAAAATTGTTCAATTTTCCCGAATTTTCCTCAAAATGCAGGGTTATTTATGGATAATTTGGGTAAAAATGGCAGGAGCCTTACGGATAATTGGGGGAAAATTAGGCAGCTCATTAATATTCTATTTTGTGGCTATCGACGATCCACTATCCAAGAAAAATGCAAGCCGAAACCTATACTCGCCCGGGGCACAGAGTGCCCCAGCGAGTAAATAGCTATATATGTGAATGGTAATAGCATGGATAATAAAATAAATGGATAGGACTCTAGCTGACGTAAGCAAAAACAACCTAGTTGCAACCTGTGACGTCACGCGTATTGCAAAGTTCTCGGCATTTTTGTTGTTTCGCTATACTTTCCGCTTTAAAAGAGTAGTATTGAAGCATATACTGGTCTAATTGTTTTAAAAACATGCCTAAGCCACGACAAAGTATTCAAGGTAAATGTTTTTCGTCTTTGTTTTGTATTTTTTTTACATTTGTAGCTACGAAATTGACGTCCCCAATTTTAACGAAATTTGGGATGCCTTTTTCACTATTTAGTGCTTGAAATATTTGCTAAAATTGACTGGGAATACTTAGAGATTTCATCGTAGAATGGCGTGGTTATATTCATTTGCTCTTTGCCTAAAATGTTTAGCTGTATTATTGCCAAACGTGCCGTTTTTGAGAATTTGGTTTGCAACTAGGTTTCAACATGCAATCACGCCATCAGCCCATTGAAAACATTAGGTCACGTCAGCTAGTTTCCTATCCATTTATTTTATTATCCATGGTAATAGTAAATGGTAAGTGGATTTTATTTCTAAGTCAATATTATAGCAACTGTTTAGTAATTATTTGACGAGTCGAATAAATATATTTTTAACGACGTATTATTCTATAACTAGTCGCAACGTGCCAACGTGAGTCTGTTGACGTTTCTGATATTGAATTGATGACCGCGCCTAAATGTCAAAATTGCTCTCAACCTTTTTTGCGTGATGTGACAGCGCATCAGGTGAACTGCTGTAAACCTAAAATATTTATATATTTTTCAGATTTCTTTGATGTCATATGGCAGGTGAATTGTTAAAGGTCGCAGTTTCTTATAATCCTGGTGGAATCATTTCGATTATCATTAAGTGTGAAAAATCCGTGGTTCGTGACCTCTGCATCACCGCAGTGTCACTGTATGGTATTTACACAACCTCTAAATTAGTAGCACGAGCTATAGATGGCATTGTGAACAGAGGGCTTGGTGGCCCGAGGAAGGACCAAGGTATATATAACCAGATAGCACTCAGAGACTTCATACCTCTGCCACTTCATCGATTTCGACGACATTTTGATTGCTTTGCATGCATTTTATACGTCTTTTTAAGTGCCTACGCGAGAATTTTTTTATGATTGAATTGCAAAGTTCGTTTAAAGGGAAATGGCAATATATTTTTTATTTTCTCATTTGAAAGAACTTTTGAAACTATTTAATAACTTCTTTTACCGATTCGTCATATCTTGCTTAGTTCTTGAAATACTTTCACTTGAAGTAATGAGATGTCAGCCATCTTGGAAAATTTTTTTATCTCATTAACGGTAGTTTTGGTGACGTCACAATAGGGATTAACCATATAAAAGTATTCGTTGCTGACCAGATATTGATTGGTAGATGTTTTAAAGGTTTCAAGTGATCTTGATATTTCCAAGGGCATACAGAGTATAAATTTGAGTGCAAAATGATTAGTGGTTGTCTAGATAAAAATATTGCGTGACCCCTGTTGTGACGTAACATGCATATCCACAAAAATCCAAGATGGCGGACATTTCATTTCTTTCGATTAAAATATTTGTAGAAGTAAGCAAGATATGAAAAAACGGTAAAAGAGTTTTATATATGGTTTTAAATGTTCTTTTAAACGAGAAAATAAAAAAATATATTGCCATTTCCCTTTAACA